AAACAAATAGGCAAAAGAATAGCTAAAACTTGTGCAAGAAGCACAGTAAGAAAAAAATGGAGAGAAAAAACGTTTTTTTTTCTTCGCATAAGGAGAAAAGAAGCAACCTGGAAAATTGTAACTGGTCCTCATAAAAAACAAATGTCGTTTGATTTCGTATGAAAAATGAAATTTGAAAAAACGTTCAACAAGCACTTTGTTTTTTTTTTTTACATTTTTGATACAATTAAAACTGCAATTAAACTAAAAATTTTCAAAACCTAAAAATATGTTATAAACTCTCAATTCGCTCGATTTTTTGCTCAAACTTAGAAAAAAAACCCAAAACAAGGACACTGCAAAAGAATTGATTAGCAAAACCTGGAAAAAAAAACTCAAGTTGCTGGTTTTGAACCTCCGATTTGAACTACCTCGCAATTATTATATTTACTCTCAACTCGGATTAACTGAAACGGGCTACGGTTGCAGTGCTAGAAAACAACAGTGCTAAAGAAATAAGAATTACAATTGAGTAAAGCGGTGATGATAAACAAAACTCAGTTTAGATTTTAGGGTGTACGAGATCTTTAGGGTTAAAACTTTACCTGCCAGATAGTGATGGTAAATATAAATAAAATATTTTCTTTGCGGCACGTTCTATGAGCTTTTACAGATTTTCAGAAAATTGTTAAAGTTAAAACATTACAAAAAATTATGTTCGCAAGCAGCTTTTTTGAATAGACTTTCAATTAATGATTCAACCAGTGTAACAAGAAACAAACACATTTTCTGACCAAACACAGCTTTCTCAACAACTAAAACAAACTCAGCGAAGAAAACCACAGTCACTTTAATATTTTATCTGCTTTTTCAACTATATATAACAGTCATAAATTGTTTGCAATAAAGATACCATTTCTTCTACAAACTACAGAACTAAATGAAACCTTATCGCGATAACGCCGTGGAATCGTGCAGCCCGTTTTCAGGGGCTTCTGATCTTGCAATGACTTACGTTGGTTTTCAATCAAAAAATTTTTAAAAAATACTTAATCAAAAAACTTTTAAAAAAATACTGTGCATAAAACTTAGAGGCACAAACGGGCAATTTATTCAGCAATATACCTATCCTTGACTGAAACTTTTTGTTATGCAAATTCTACTAAAAAATAAAGGTAACCAGTTGATAAGTTTTTAAAACGAGGTTGTCAAAAAACTCATAATTGATGGTTTGTATTTGATACTCTGTGATGTTTTCTTTATATTTCACGCAATTTTAATTCTAAGACTTTGAAGTGGAGATTTTTAAAAGAGGGCTTGTAATTTTTGTTTGTTGAAATGAGTAACAAACGTTATAAGAATTTCATCGCGCAGAAAACCAGAAACTTGATTATCAAATTTTCTACACTTTCATAAAAAAATTTGAATTTGAGGCGGGAAGTGTAAACAAATAGGCATAAGAATAGCCAAAACTTCTGCAAAAAACACAGTAAAAAATAATTGGAAAAAAAAATTTTTTTTTTCTATAAGGAGATAAAAATCAATCTAAAAAATCTAATTAGCTTCTTCAAATTACAAAAATTGTTTGAATTCGCAATGAAAATGAAATTTTGAAAAACATTCTAACAATCACATTGTTTTTTTTTTACTTTTTGGCACTTTTTTATATTTTAAACTTTCTATTCGCTTGGTTTTTTGCTCGAATTTAGAAAAATCCGAAAAAAGGACACTGGGGAAACTGTGAAAAACTTCAACGTCATTCGAATTACGACTAAAAAAAACTTTGAATTATTTCGAATCACACTTTGAAATATTTCAGGTTGTTTCATAAAGTCAATCAGTGCGCAGATTATTTAAGCTCACAATTGAATCTAGGAAAAATGAAATAGTTCAAATTGTTTCTTAGACGCAAAAGTTTTATGAAACATTAATTTTTATAGAGGAAACTATGCACAAGCTACGAAACTTGGAACAAATTCAAGTTATTTCAACGACCCCATTTAGCGTTTTTAAAATGATACGTTTCAGACTGAAATGAATCAGCAAACACAAAAATTTGGACAAAAAATTGACAGGAAATGATAAGACTTGACAATGAATAGTGTTAATTTTTCTTATGCGCTCTGATCTAAGCCTTCATAAATGTTGTGACGGTGCGTCTAAAGCGCATTCAGACTTCAATTTAATATATTAGATTTTGATTTATATGTACAAATACTTATAAAAATTGTTTCTACAAAAGTCTAAGACTTACTTCTAAAGGTTTTAGCTAAACACAAAGGTAAATTTTTATAAGTATGTCTTAGACTTTTGTAGAAACAATTTTCTTTGTCGATTGTAAATAATATTTAAAAGGATAAAAATAACAAGGATAGCCATTACTGTGCAGGTAGCACAGAATGTTCCGACCAGGGTCTTAAAAAAACTCCGATTTAGAAATTTTTTTTTCCAAATTAGTGAAGTTTCTTCTGCTTGGTGTGACAAAAATATCTGACTTAAAACACATTTTCGACATATTAGACAATCATAGTAATATAGGTAAATGGGACTCAAAGTTTTGTAGAAAAATGATTAGAAAAAGTTTTAAAAAATCAAAAAATGTTTCAAACATATTTGCAAATACAATTTCAAACATATTTTCCGAAGTTTGTGGTTCCCAAAATGCAGCTAAAAAACTTCAAAATTAGTTTTACTTGCTCAAAATTAAGATTTAAGGTTCTAAGTTAGGCATAATTTGGCTGCTGTAAGCCTGCTCGCTTGCTTTGTTCGCTCGAATTAAAACAAAAACACAAAAATTTCAAACCGGTTTTTTTCGACACTGGGCTTTAATGTGATATATATTTTAATCTGAAATCACTACTGAAAGGGTTTAATATGATATATCTTTCAACCAATCCAATGATTATTTCTGGTACCTGATTTTGCGGGAAAAAACTAAAACACCCAAATAAAAAATTTATCCCGAATTTTGAATTGGTCGGAACAATAAACCGTGAATAGAAGCATTAAAATTTAACGTGATTCCCTCATATTTTTGTTTTCTTGTCAGAAAAACAACACTAAAATTGAATTTGAACTTGGTTCCAAGATTTTTACAGAATAACCGGGCTCATAGATTTTCACAAAATCGTCTATTGGTTGCAAAGTAGTGCTGACTCGTATCGCGGCAGCTGGCACTCAGTTAGACATAGTAAATCTTCATTGGTGCGTCATTAGCACAACAAATGTCAAAACATTTCTGAAAAGCCACTATTTGGTTCTTGACTGAAAAAAAAACTCGTAGCAAAATACGTGAAATTAAATAGTAATTTGAATATTATCATAAATTTTTAAATTCGAAATCGAAAATTAATACATTGGAAATATAAGTTAAAATGAGCTTTGAGCTGTTTTTTTTTTAATTTTGGCCAAAACAGCGTCTTTTTACTGCTTTAGGTCAGCTCGGAAAATCAATTTGGTCGAACTAAAAAAAGGTCGTAAAAATTTCCAAAAAATCCCGCTCCTCCACTTCGAGAAAATCCTAGATCCGCCCCATTTATATATATATATATATATATATATATATATATATATATATATATATATATATATATATATATAAGTATACACTTTTAAAATTTACGTTTGCTTGTTTTACGCAATTCCATTTCCAGTACAATTGCTTATCAGATCATTGCAAGCATAATCAAGCTATTTATTACTAAGCAAGCTATTCAAGCTATAAAACTTTTAATTTATTTCATAGCGGGTAACAGTTGGCTTAAGCTTAAATTTTCTTAAAAACGGCTGCTTTTTTAAATTGATACGTTTCAGACTGAACTGAAACAGCAAACACAAAAATTTGGACGAAAAGTGGACAGGTACTGACAAGAATTGACAATGAATCGTGTTAATTTTTTAAAAACGTTTTGATCTATGCCTTCATAAACATTGTGCGTCCATAGCGCATTCAGACTTCAATTGTAAATATAAGATTTTGATTTATATACTTTTACCTTTATGTTTTTCCTTTATGTTTAGCTAAAACCTTTAGAAGTAAATCTTAGACTTGAGTAGAAGCAATTTTCTTTGTCGATTGTAAATAATATTTAAAAATATAAAACGAACAAGGATACCTTGTTACTGTGCAAGTAGCACAGAATGATCTGACCAGGGTCTTAAAAAAACTACGATTTAATAAATTTTTTTTCCAAATTAGTGAAGTTTCTTCTGCTTGGTGTGACAAAAATATCTGACTTAAAACACATTTTCGACATATTAGACAATCATAGTAATATAGGTAAATGGGACTCAAAGTTTTGTAGAAAAATGACTAGAAAAAGTTTTAAAAAATCAAAAAATGTTTCAAACATATTTGCAAATACAATTTCAAACATATTTTCGAAGTTTGTGGTTCCCAAAAAGCAGCTAAAAAACTTCAAAATTATTTTCACTTGCTTAAAACTAAGATTTAAGGTTCTAAACTAGGCATCATTTGGCTGTTGTAAGCCTGCTCGCTTGCTTTGTTCGCTCGAAATAAAACAAAAACTCTAAAATTTCAAACCGGTTTTTCTCGACACTGGGCTTTAATGTGATATACATTTTAATATGAAATCACGATTAAAAGAGCTTTAATATGATATATCTTTCAACCCAGTCCGATGATTTTTCGTGGTACCTGATTTTGCGGGAAAAAAACTATAAGACCCGAATACAAAATTCCTCCCCATTTTTGAAATGGTCGGAACAATAAACGGTGAACAAAAGCACCAATATTTAACGTAATTCCCTCATAATTTTGTATTCTTCCAAGAAAAACACCCTTAAAATTGAATTTGAAGTTGTTTTTAAGATTTTTACAGAACAACGCGGCTCATAGATTTTCACAAAATCTGTCTATTGGCAGCAAAGTAGTGCTGTCTCGTATCTCGGAAGCTGGCACTCGATTGGACATAGAAAACCTTCACTGGTGCGTCATTAGCACAAAAAATATCAAAACATTTCTGAAAAGCCACTATTTGGTTCTTGACTGAAAAAAAAACTCGTAGCAAAATACGTGAAATTAAATAGTAATTTGAATATTATCATAAATTTTTAAATTCGAAATCGAAAATTAATACATTGGAAATATAAGTTAAAATGAGGTCATTGCAAAACAGGGGTCCCATTGCAAAACAGGTTACGTAATGATAATACCATTATTGTTTACGCAATTGTCGTTTTCTCTAAACAATTTATCAAAGATGAATGCGGGATTAAATTTGCACTCATAAATTGTAAACAAGTTGGTACCTTATTTCTACAAGTTTGGTATATGAGTTAATTTTAGCTTCTGAATAAAAAATATGATCAATATTTGATGAGATTTGTGGCGATTGCCAAGAGTAGAGAAAATAGACTGCAGTTATTGCACGAAATTATTGCACTGTAGCATTAATCTACTGCAAAAAAAAGATTGAACAACTAAGTTGTAGAACTTGTGAGGTACGCAAAGCATTTTGGTCTTCATTGGGTTGGAATCGATTTCGTGTGATAACAGAAGAACTGATTTAATGTCATGATTTACTAATTAGTCTGCATCGGAGAAGCCTAATGCGCAAGATGTTCAAACATGGAACTTGGGATAGGGGCAGAGAACTGATTTTATTTCGGTTAGGACCTCAAGCATGGAAAGCTTCTTTTAAAGACAAAGAATACAAATTTAAAGGTCAAGCAATTGTTCATTGTTAAATAATACGAATTGAGCAATTAGTTTTCTGCTAGCTTGTAAAATTGTGTTCATAGTTCTGATATGTTCTGTTGTGTCGAGTCGTCTTCATAATCCGAGCTCTCTTCGGGTATGAAGTCGTTTGAAGTTGCCGCACCAATCGTCGCATTCAATCTGCTTTTCGACAACATTGCGGGACTAAAACCTCCGACGTTGTCTAGCTCGGAAGCTCCGTCGGAACATGATGCATTGCCAGTGAGGTATACGGGGGCGGAGGGTTTTCTAGAGGGGGGCGATGATGATCTGTGATTTGACCCAAGGAAGGATGAGTCTTCTTTCTCTGGCTGACTTAATTTGCGAGCCCTCTGGTGCTTCTGTTTTGAAGGTTTGAAATTGGACTTGTTAGAGTGGTTGTTGTCGGTGGTGTTCCGGTTGCTTCCAGAAATTGAGGAGAGCTTGAGGTCGCTATTGCTGTTTTTGCGATACCTTTTTTTGTCGTTGGGCTGTTGTGATTGGTTGGTGGAATTGAGTGCGGATACCATGGCCTGAGTCTCGGCCGAGTACTCGTATGGGTCAGTCGCGTTGGAGAAGGATGATGGAGCTGCCTACAAAAAAAAACAAATAAATTATATTAAACATAGCCAACTGACAGTTGGAAAAGAGTAATGAACGCAAGATAACAGAAAAACTTCATTTTTCCAATTTTAAGAAAAAATACATGTAACACTTAAAGCTCTTTGGATTTCACGAACAATTTACTATTGGTGCTTTTTTGATAAAAATTAACCCAATTTGAAAAAAATAGATCAATAGGTTAAATTTTTATTTAGCTAATAAATCTGATAAATAAACTCCATTTTCGAAATTAGAAGTCGATCACGTTCGTGATTTTTACACTTTTGCTGTTCGATAGTGGAGTTTGCTTTCCTTTGAACAAAAGAAATGAAATGAACTTTAAAAGAAAACAAAAGTCAAACTGCTTGAAATCAAAATTTAGCGTAACAATTTTAAGATTTTTTTTCCAGAGAAAAAAATCACAGAAAAAAATCACCAAAACCTTTATAAGAGTACTCACTATTTTCCTTACTCCTAAAAAAGTGTGTGTAAAATTATTAGCTTTTGCACAAAAAGCACAGGATGTTTTTTCCAGGTTGCTCTCGTACTGATGCAAATGTAAGAAAAACTTTACTTCGAAATTTTTCTTGATACCTCACACGTTTGCAAGGGTTCCTGACTTTGCTTCCATATAAAGTAAAGATATAAAAAAACTAACGATCGAGTTCTGACAAACCATTTGTGTCAACTTTCAGATATAAAAAAAACTAACGATCGAGTTCTGACAAACCAATTGTGTCAACTTTCAAAGAAAGACACTGATTATTGAAGCTCGGAATGTTTTTTTTTCTTCACATTTAACTTAAGATTTAACTTCAAATTTAACTTTTCTTCAGAATTTTTCTTTAGATTTGACAATTTAGAATTTATGACGAATTTCTACACTATGTTGTGAAAGACAAAGAAAATGGGCGAACAAAACTGATAAAACTGCTCATATATCAAGGCGAAATTTCTGAATATTCCGAAGTTTCTGACACCCATTTAATTGGTCTCAAATAGTTTTAGCAAAAAAAACTTTGATAAACTATATGAGTTGTATAAGGAAATATGATGAACACTTTGCTAACCGGATGTCAATTTGGATTAATTTTGTGTGCCGGGTAATTAATCGTGTTACGCTTTCAGCCTTAAAGTTGAAGTCTTCAATCTATTAAACGAATAGTTTACATAGGCTTAAAACGCATTTAGGAGAGTGCATAACACATCCACTTGTGAACACGGAAATGATTCCAGGTTAGATGTCCGTTCTTAAATCTTTTCCAAAACAATTGAAGAAAGCTAATTTGTCCACCTAATACTTGATAGATAAGAAAAAAATCACTTTGACTTAACATGGCACGTGAAGGGGACATTACTAATAACTTTTAATTGGAAATTTTGAATCTCCCAACAAGATATTTTCAGATATCTTGAATAAAAAATGAAACAATTAGGACTTTTCTGATATAAAAAATTTTGGTTTTTTGCAGCGTCTTTCTTATGAAAGATGCCGCAATCTTAAGAAAAAATATGTTAACCCAAAGAGAACATTATAGCCTAAAGCTCCATCAATTTTGTCCGACTTTTTAGTGAAAGGAAAATTTTTTTATAAAATTATAAAAGCAGTCACGGGACATTGAAGTTGCGACTTTGATTTCAAGAACTAGACTAACAGTTTTTTCTTCCGTCTTTCTTGTGTTCTGTGCAATTATTAAAAATAAATGATTGAAACTACTTGGAAGCATCTCATCAGATCAAATGCTGAGAAATCTCAACTTGAAGGTGTAAAATAGCCAGTAAACCATAACTAGTTTCAGCGGTTTCTTGCTCTGGAAACATCCTCAAAAACAAAACAATGAAATTAAATTTATTGACTCTAATTGGTTCGTAGGGAAATTGATGATCTTCACTTAGTCTCTAGACCGCGGATAAACGACAGACAAACAAATCAAAGATTAACTCGATCCGGCTATAAAAAATGGTGGTATCTGTTTTAAAGATACAGATATTAAAAGTTTTTGGGCGCTTAAGCTGGATTTGAAAAAATTTAGAGACAACATAACTGCTTATTGGAACCCTGTGTAAAGATCGAAGATGTTGTTTTTCCAAAATATCAGCTGGAATAGTTTGCTTTTTTCGACGCCGGACCAAGTAAATCTTTGAAATTTTATGTCTGTCGTTTTTACGCGGCCTAGAGAATAAGTGATAATCATCAGTTTCCCTACGAACCAATTTGAGCCAACAAATTCAAATTCATTGTTTTGTTTTTCAGGATATTTCTAGAGCTAGAACACCTCTAAAACTAGTTATGAGTTACTAGCTATTTAACGCCGTCGAGTTAAGATTTCTCTGTATTTGATCAGGTGAGATGCTTCCAAATAGTTGCATCTAGCATGTGTCAAACTTTCAATCCTATATCTTTAATAAATGCACAGAAAACAATAAAGACGTGAAGAAAAAATCCGTTCAATTACTCGTTGAAAGCAAAAACTTCCATGTCCCGTGGCTGTTCGTTGAAACTGGCCAAATTGGCAGCTAACTATTGGAGAAAAAGAAAGAATAATGATTGTAGGTGAAAAAAGTTTGCTTTTTGTAACCAAGGATATCTTCAATATGGCATACAAAATTTTCTTCGAAAACCGATGACCGAATTAGGTAAAACAAACCCCGCGCATATATATTCAATAAGTTCGTCAAAATTCGGAACAAAAGAAATGAGAGAGGGGCATTTAAAGAACATAAAAATGACACGCACTAAGTAAAGCGATAAAGAGAGAGAGAGAGAGAAACTAGAATGAATTTGAGCATCAAAGTGGGTTTTAGAGAAGGGCACCCTTGGGCGGGTGGGACAAGAGTGGAGAACACTTCCCTCATATGTTGTGGGACCAATAAAACTCTTATCATTTTCTGGTCACTGTAGTAAGTGTATTGGCAATACCATACTCACAAAGTAATGTGAAAACAATCGATGACCACTTTAGCCGAATCTTTATGGACCCATTCCAGATGTTAACGAAAAATTTCGCTCCTGCTTTCAATATTTTGCAAATGTATTTGACTAAAACCATAAATTTTATACGGATATATTGAATCAGAATTCCAAATTTCTGATAATCTTAATGATATTTGGCATAATTTAGCCGCGATCAACCGAATAAACTGAAGTAATGGCTGGGAATAGGAATGAATTGTAAACTCAAGTTACTAGGAAGGGCTTGTAATTTTCCACCTAATTTTAGCTAACTTAGATTTAAAAACAAAAGTAAGTACTCTGGTACTTTTTCTCTTCTCAATATCTCTCAAGCCAACAATTAAATCATTTCCGGCATGTTTTTTTTCCAATTTATTGATTCGTTTTGTTTGATTTATTTGTCAGACAGGAGTTAATTTTTTGCACTAGAAGTCCACAGAAGTTAAGAGGCACCAACTACCAGCGTGAATTTGAACAACTGTATGACATGAAAAAATGCCATAACGTGACCAGTGAACGCAACCAACAGTGAAAATAACAGATAATCAATTCAACGTTTAACATCTTTCATCTGGAACCATAAGTTTCTTCAATGCTTTTTATTTTCTCACTTTTCGATTGTTTACACCGTCGTATTAATTGTATGGTGATCCGCCACCCAAATATGACTTCCAAATATCTCTGCCACCACCTTGCACTCCCCCCCCCCCCCCCCACTCCGATCCTCACTCCAACCTTACCATAGAAGGCCGCAGTGTACGACGCATGTCTCCTTCACTACCCAAAAGTCTCCAGTCCTGAAAACCACCGCTCAAGGCTGTTTACGGAATACGCCACATAGTCTATTTTATCGTCTAAGTCAAACTGTTATTTCATTTGAATGGCGCTGAATGGTTATCGAATTACGGCCAAAGGCGGAATAACGGTTTATTGGCTATCGCGTATCGAGCGTAGTGCATAAATTGCGGAAGCGCCACCCCAAAAATGCACAGACGCCAGATTTCGATATATTTAAAATAAGTTATAATGGTTTTTGTTCCAATATTACATCATGTCTTCAGGGCTGCTTGAAAAATAAATACTCTTCAAATCACGCACCAATAAAATTTTCATTGTTTATTCAACGGAATGTATAATCAGAAACCAAACTCCAGGAAACAAATTCAAGGCAATTTACAAAAAAACCAATTCGTCGCAAAATTCTGAAATAATAAACTATGAAGAAAAGCCACTTAAAACCGGAGAACATAGCGAAGAGACAGTTGGAAAAGAGTCAATGAACGCAATTAAACAAAAAAAGTTACTTTTTGAAAAATTCTCAGCTTTCGAATTTCCGAGAAAAAAACTGATGGCCTCAGTCTTCTTTGAATTTCTAGAACAATTTACGGTTGACACTTTTTGATTAAATTAACCCAACTTCAGAAAACTGGATCAATAGGTAATTTTTTTTCCGCTGGCAAATCTGAAAGTTAAATTCCACTTTCGGCACTAGAAATGACGTTTTCGTGACCTTTACACTTTTGCTGTTCGATAAAGGAGTTCGCCTTCCTTTTAACAAAGGCAATGAACTGAACTTAAAAAGAAATTAAAAGTCAAACCGCAAAAAAAAAGTAAATTTGAGCCTGAACAAGTTATGAAAACTTTTCCTGAAAAAAAAAAAAAAAAAGCATCAGCCCCTATATAAGAAACTGAATTACGTTAATAGCCCTTTAAAAACATCTAACTCTTGAACAACAGATTTCACACACGTTTGCCCTTCAGAAAACGGATTCTGAGATACATAAGAAATCAAGGCAGAAAATAGATGGTAGCAAATACACATGAAGACACGCCATTCCACTCTTCGTCACACGCGCTGACCTGATTTGACCTTTGCCCTTTGGTGACCTCTTGAGAGGCACTAGATGAGGATGAAAACGAGGACTGATTGTTGTTCGAAGAGCAGCAGGAGTCTCCAGTCAGACATTTGAGACACGTGCACAGGTAATGATCATTTTTAGGCTCAGAGCAAAATTCGTCATTTTGAACAACTGATCTGTGATTGATATTACTTGTACTTAGAGAACTTAATCTTTTAGGGTACTCATTTAGAGCACAACTGATTAAGTCATGCTGTGTTTGTTTTTCCACGGCAACGATGTCGGTTTTGTTGCCAGTTGAGGCATCTTGTGTTGTTTCGGGACATAATTTCCTATCCTTATCGTCGCTTTGTGGCCTATGGTAAGTGGCTTTTTCTTCAGGTAGTTCGCCGCCATTGGGATACTGACGAACCTACATTCGGTTCACAAATTTATGTTACTTTTGGAGCATTTTGAACATTTTAACCGTTCTTAGAAATCATAGGATAAGGCATGTACATGACAAACTTTTTTTTTGCATTTTTGCCTTAAAATTATTACAGAAAACTAATCAACTGCCTAAAGTTACAAGGATAGTCGGTTACTGTGCAAATAGCTTAGAATGTTCCGACCATAGTCTTTAAAAACTACAAGATAAAAAGTTTTTTTTTTAAATTAATTTAGTTTTTTTTCTGCGTGGTGTGATCTGACGTAAAACTGAAAAACATATTCGATAATCATAGTAATGTAAGCAAACAGACAACAGATTTTGAAGATAAATGACTAGAAAAACAAAAAAAAAACATTTAAAAAATTTTTAAAACCTGAACATTGTTTTTAAAAATTTATTGTAACTCTGGATTCCCAAAATGATACTAAAATCTCCAAAAACTAATTTTACTTGAGTAAATTAAAGTTAAGCATAAATGATATATTGTTAACGGCCTACATTAAGTATAAATAAGGCTGCCGCTCATTTTACTTGTTCGAATTTAGACGAAAAACAAAAAAGGTTCAAACTGGTTTTTTAATATTGTTCGAATCACGACTGAGAGAGCTTTAATAAGAAATATCACTCAACTCTTTCCGATGATTATTTGTGATAGCTCATTTTGCGTGAAAAAAAAGGAAAAACTAAAACACACCCGAATACAAATTTCCTCCCCATTTTTCAAATGGCCGGAACAATCGGTATTTTGCAAGTGGCACAAAATGTTTCGAGAAAAGTCGTTTTGATTTTTTCAAATTGTTTTGGAAATTTCTACAATTTTAGTCAACTTTGGTGTAAGACTTCAAACTAGCAAGACTTCAAATGCTAGACTCATTAGCTGCCTAAAGAGATTAATGATGAAGTTACTCGCAATTTTTGATAATTTATTTTGAATACCTTTGCACAATTTTATGAGCGTCAATGAAAGCCCATATGTCAAACCGTTTTTTTTCTCGAAGCTGAGAGAACCTTCCAATTTTTTGGAATCTTTTTCACAGCCAATTTGATATCTCATCTATCTCCTCCAAAATTTCTGGGAAAATCAGGCAAGAAAAAACATCTCACGTCATAGTTCAATTTCACCCTATTACAACTATTGAAACAATAAAAATTAACACGTTTTAGATGCATAACAATGAAGTTTTCTGTTTTCGCATAAATACTTCTCTTTAACAAAACGCTTTATTAAAAAGATGTGAAGGCAGGTAATCTGCAACAAATGCATCTGCGCATAAATAGGGGACAAGAAATATGTTTTTTTTCATATTTTTCAAAATTTTTTGGTATGTTTTCAACATTTTTTTTCGTTTTTGGGGCGCAAGAAGATAACACTTCATGAACTACAATGCTGAGTTAAATTATCCGGACAAAACGAACAAAAGTTGAAATTTAAAATGCGGTTTTCTCAAATTGGATTGACTTTACACGAAAAATGATGAAGACAGCACTGCTTAGAATTTTGGCAGAATTAATATAGTGCATTATTTTTTTTGCCAAATTCGGTTGCAAAATTTAACCACATAAACGAACATTTTTGGCTTTTTAGCCAGTCAAAAATTACTCCAAAACTATCGGTTTAAGCGCTGACAAAATAACATTAAAGAGATCTTCTTATTTTCAAATAGGTATAATCTCCATAAAATGGCTCAAACATCTAGAATTTGATTTTAAACAAAAAGTGTGTATTTTTTCTGGCAAAATGACATTTTTCGGCTATCAATCGAAAACAAATTTATTTATACAAAACTGACACGGTTAAGCTGACACATCCTTGAACTTTGTTGGCCTATTTAAGACGCTCACTTTAATATAATTTTGTCAGCAATGGAACCGATAGTTTTGGCGTAATCATTGATTGACTTAAAAAGCCAAAAATGGTAGTTTTTAGGTAAAATCTTTGACACGAATTACTCAAAACAAATGCACCATATTAATTCTGCGAAAATTCTCACCAGTTTTTGTCCTCGTCATTTTTTGTTTAAAGTCAACCCAAATTGAGAAAACAGCAATTTATTTTTCAAGTTTTATTTGTCCGGATAATTTTATTTGCTGAATTAACTAGAATCAATTTGGCTTTCAATTGGCGCCTAACCTGCCTTATAAAAAAAATTTCCAACATTTTTTCTCGAGACTGCAAAAACACTTTCATTGGAGCCCGAGTCACGATTGAAAGAGCTTTAATTTTATAATTCACTCAATTTTTGGTGGTCGATTTAAAAAAATAACGCATGCGTATCCTAAAAGTTATAAAGTCAAGTTCGCGTCGGTATTATAATTCCTATCAAAATACCCCAGTATCTTAAACTCGTTCTACAAACTACCACAGCTGTTAATAAAATCATCAAAACAACGGTGGAACGAGAAATAGTGCCCCAAAAAGTAATAAAGTAATCATAACAAGCCAGAACATATTCTAATTTAAACCCGATGCATTGAATTGACAGGCCCAGTACCCAATTATCTTACCAGACATAACCATAATTACATTTCACTATCGGCCAAGCAGTCGAAACAACTTGTTAATCTCCAAAAAAGTCACAGTGAAAGATTTTAAAAAACGTAATTTTTAAACTCATGTTTTGACGATCTAAAAACAATACATGGCTTCTTCGGGGACCCACAACAATATTTCGGCTATTGTGACGCTAGATAAGCGAAGTTAAAAACTGCACCTCAAGGGAAGGAACACTTGAATACAAGAAGAATTTGACGTCAGCTTAAGATTGGACCTGACAAAACACAAAAGCATTAGTCGCCAGCAACAGTGTAATTTTCAGTGGCATGTTTTCTGAACACAAAAATTAACCGAAATATACACTAGCCGAAAATAAAAAGCATTATTTGGAAATGATGCAACATTTATTAGACTACTTTGGCAGTTTTATATAGAATTCAGAACAAGCGACGTAAATTCGGCTGGTTTATATTCTCTTAATTTTCGGCAATTAACCTTCAATCTGCTTGGCACACTCGATATTTTACGCAAGACAATGGGTATCTGGTATCTCTCAATGGCACGTTCCCCTTTCAAATTTGGTTTACTTAGACCGTTATTATCTCAACTCCTGTCGAGAGACTACAAAGGAAGACAGTCGCCAATGGAAGAAGACAGCGGGGAGGGGACGGGATGGTCTAACATCCGTTCATTTACTTCAATTCACCACTCTAACCCATTTGAAAATTAGAGGCGCACGGCACGTAAGGTCAATTAGCTCCAAAACAGTCGTCCTACCTGGACAACATTTCAACATAACATTATCACAACTTATATCTGTAAAAAGGATTAGAAAACTTTACATTCGGGTCTGTGTTTTTCTACTTTTTGCTAAATAATTAAGTATCAAATTGAGTCCATTTCAGACGGTAAGCCTACTCCGAACAGACGCATGAAAATTTGTATCGTTTTCATCGCATTTTCATTAATGCTTTCATTTCAATTTTTGTCTGACTTAATAGTAGTCTTTATTTTATTTTTAAATCATCGGCTCGATAATTTAAATCGGGGTTGTTTTCCGGAAATTTATAGACTATTATTCTACATTTGGCGAGTAAACCAAAGAAGATTTGCCATTTTTGCTACATCATAAAACTTTGAATTCAGGTGTCTTTTCCACGGAAAATCAGATAGTCCAAAAAACGTCGTAGGAAGTTGTGATATATCATATTCAAAATCTTGCAACCGTGATTCGAGCTTCAACAAAAAACTCAACAGAAAATTTGTCAATGCCGTTGTAAAATTGATGTAACAGGAAGCTGTAAATAATCTCTTAGGCCATCTAAATGTGAAGTCTCACACCTTTCTTATCTCCAAATAAACAACAAGTTGCAAACAACCGTGGTCCAAATATTCTGTCCTACTTGGAGAGCAACAGACTATTCTTGTTGTTTCGACTTTCTTAACGGAATATTTGTGCTCGGAGTGGTTTTTTTCCTAGGACAAATTTCGACTTTTTAACTAGCCATTTTTGACTTATTTTTAAAATATGGTTCAAAAAATATTGTTCTTTTCAGCTTAAATTAAAAAAAATATTTCACCTGTGATCGTTTTTTGTAAAATTATGTGAGTTTAAAGATTGCCATTTTGGCCAATTTGGGACAATTAACGCGCGATATATTTCGCGCTATTAACGCGTAAGCGGAGATTAAACCCGTCTTAAAAATCGTTCCAAATTAGTTGTAGGAAGCTTAATTGCCATGATTTAATTGTTATTAGGAGCAAAAATTATCCCTTTTTTATATGGCGTGTGGGGTGATGATTTACACATAAAATCTCAAATAAAAAAAATAGTTTTATTTTATTACGCTTAATTTTTTCATGTTATTACTGCTCTAGAGACCTTAAAGGGAAGTCGAAACATTCAGGGCTTTGCCCTAAAACGAACAGTCTTGTTTCCATTTAATTATGCTTCTTCTTTTAAAGATGAAGGTACGTACTGATTTTTTGTTTTTTTTTTTCGTTACGAAATTTGAAATAATAATAGTCGGTGTTAAAAACCTTAGCATTGGCTGTACTTAAAAGCTGGTTATTGATTAAAATGAACACTTTCAAAATGAACAAATTTTATCGCAACAAAATTAGCGTTGCAACAATATTTGCGACTGAGGTTGGAACAAAAAGATAGTTCATACTATAACACAAGCTATGCTTGTGTAAAAATATACCAAAAAATGGTGGGAAAAAAGGAAGAAAATTTTATAAATTGTAATCTAGATAACAAAGGGCCAAGCGTGAAAAGCCAAACTATCGATTCACACCACCAAGAGCTTTCAATTTCAAAATCGTTTTAGGGTTCACACATTTTTAAAATTGAAAATATTCGAGGAAACGGGATTAACGGGCAACCTTTTTCTTCCGTTGGGAATTTTAAAAAGAAAATCAACTTTAAAACTAAAATATAAGCTGCTTATCTGACACTATTTCAGCTTTGTTAAGGCAAAAAAATTGAGCTCGGCTTGGAAATGAATTTGAAAAATAAAGTCAAAAAGGTGAAACATCCAAATGATTTGACCATATTTATTGATTGCTAAGAAGCGTAGCACGTCAACATCAATGCAGTTGATCGACATTTTGGAGCATTTGATAGTTCTAACATTTTTAGTTGGGCCCACACCGCACAGTTCAATAGTTTTTGAGGGATCAAACAACTAAACCAGTAATCAGAAACAACATCACATACGAAACAGGATAGCCGGTAGCTGTACAAGTAGCACAGAAGGTTCAAACAAAAATGATACCAGAAAATTCTAAATTGACAAAAAATATTTTTTTTTTGCAATTTTTTGTCTTAATTTCTTGTTCTTTTCTGTTTTTCAGAAACGTCAATTGAACTGAGACAACAAAAAAACGAGAAACATCGTTAACTATACTAAAAAATTGACGTTACAATTTTACAATTGGGAGGTCAGCCTCTCATCAAATTTCTTGACATCAAGAGATCTTCCTTGAATTTTTTTTGAATCCACGCTACAACCAGAAGTGCTGATATGAGCAGTTCTACATGCTCAATAGATACCGTTATATTTTTAGCATATGCGTCGCGGCACGAGATTTTTTTAATTAATGAAAGGGCTTACCATGGAAGAACCAACAATTATTAAAACCATAAACAAAATCACAATCAAAAGGGCTTTAATATAATACCACACTTGACCACTTTGAGAACTTTTTGTGAGGTAGTCAAAATTGGCTGAAAAACTACCCGAGTTCAAAGTTCTTTTCAAGTCTTCGAGTGGTCGGAACGATTACATACAAAAGGGAAATATTTAAAGAAAATTGTTGTTTTTTCTTATTGCCGTAGTCCTGATACGACTAACTTCATTACATAATCAATAAAAATACAACTTTAGCGTATATATCGCGACACACGGTTAAATTTGAATAAAAAAGGCATATCACTGAGGAAACAACAATTATGAAAACCTTAAGCCGATGAAATTATGCAAAAACGTCAACTTAAAGACAAATTCTGCGCCCTTAAAGACAAATTCTTTGTCTTATAAAGAGCTGCAACAGTACTATGCGCTGTTAAAACAATAGCATAGCTAACAGACAGTTGAAAAATAGCCAATGAACGCAAGGAAACGCAGACTTGTTTTCTTAAAAATTTTCAACTTTCGAATTTCAAAGAAAAAAACAGATGACCTAAAAACTTTTTCATGTTTAAGATTGACAATTAAATAGTTTGATAAAATCTACCCAATTAAGAAAAAGGGTTTATTAGGTAAAATTTTTACTCCGCTGGTATAGCTAAAAACTAAATTCCACATTCGAAACTAGAAGTTGATCACGTTTTTCGTGACAATAACTTATGCTGCTTGATGGCGGAGTTTGCCTACCCTTGAACAAGGGAAAAGAGGTGAATTTAACAAGAAATCATAAGTCAATCAAACCGCTTCAAATCAAAACTGAGCGTGAACAAGTTTTAAGATTTTTTCCTGAAAAACCAAAAAAAAAAATCTACAAGACCCATATAAGAGTACTCACTACGTTCATTACTCCTCCTAAACAAGTTAAAAATATATAAAATGATTAGCTTTTGCACAAATAGCACAGGATGTTACATCCAAGTTGCTCTAGTACTGATGAAAATGTTTAAAAAAACCTTATTTCGAAATTTTTCTTGATACCGCACACGTTTGCAAGAGTTCCTGACTTTGCTTACATTTAAAATAAAGCATTAATAATTTATCTAAACACTTTTTCTTAATAGTTAAATGACAAATTATATACAGAGCTAAACTTGCTTTCTTATTAATTTTTGTTTTTCACGAAATCAGAACATTAATCAGCTATTCATATTTGAATAAAGAAACAAAAATCATGACTAAAACTTTTTTTTTCGAAATCTAAATCACGACTAAAATCGGCTTTAAAATAATACAACAGTCAATATGGTACAACTTGATTAAGGAGTATCATATTTCACAGCTGATGAAACATGCCATAAGTCTAAAAATCCTTCTCATTCCATAGAGAAAAAGAAAAAAAACTGACTCGTATTTTGAAAAACTTCAAGAGTCGAATTTCAAAGAAAACATTATATAGATTTAAAGCTCTTTAGTTTCTAGAAAAAAAGGTAGTTCATACTTTTTTTTACAAAATCAAATCAATTTGAGAAAACTGGATCAATGTGTAAATTTTTTATACTGCTGGGACATCTGTTAATCAAATTCCACTTCGAAACTAGAAGTCGATCATGTTTTTCGTGACTTTTACACTTTTGCTGTTCGATACTGGAGTTTGTCTTTCTTTTGAAAAGAAGACAAACTCCAGTATCGAACAGCAAAAGTGTAAAAGTCACGAAAAACATGATCGACTTCTAGTTTCGAAGTGGAATTTGATTTACAGATGTCCCGCGAAAGTCAGACCGCGAAAAATCAAACTTGAGCGTGAACAAATTTAAAGACTTCGTGAAAAAAACGGAAAAAATCATCACGACCTATGTAAGAGTCTGAACTTAATAAAACGGTTTTCTTTCTACGTGGATTTTTTAACTGCAACCTAAGAGCATATATATTGCCTAGCGTTAGCATTTATCAATTTTGATGAATGAAACATAAATGGAAGTTAAATTGATTATATCTACTTGAACTTTTGATCCAATTCAAGTTGACTCAGTTAGGTGTTAACTCACGGTGGCTTTTTCAAGGCATCTAAGTAGGTGATGGTGCTGAGTCTCGAAGAGATTGGTGGAGGAGCCATTCGTGTTGTTGTCCAGCTCCACCTCAAAGTCCAAACCCTAAACAGCAAACAAACATAAACATCAACAGCATCAATCAAAGGAGACTGCAAATAACTATACATATCAGAGGTTAACCAAATCAATGCAAACTTGATTGATTTTTCCACATCGTAATGTTCGTAAAATACATAACAACGCAACAGAGTTCTACATATTCGTTTGATCGTGTACATTATAAACTCATCAGTATGAAATTAAATCCATATTTTAACCCTAACAAACTTGCTGCGCGAGGATGGGGGGGGGGGGGCATATTACAGCTTCAATCTTGTTCAAACGAGCAACTGATTGTCGCAATGTAATTGCTTGAGTTTATTTTAAATAAGTCAATATCTGAAGAGGCAATCACCTTAACTTTTTCATTTTAATTTTTGCAAAATATAGGCGATTTCAAGTGAGCGAATTTCAACGTTTCTTTCAAACTTTAATTTACTTTCTGCTTTAGTGGCCAATTTATTTTATGACTTTAACCGACATTTAATGCACGAGGGGAACGACAAACATGGGCAGTTCTGTTTCTGTTCTCGGTGCCACTGATTTAGACTTACGTACGTTTTTGGTCATCTTTTTTGGAGATGTGGGTCGGGTAATCATGTTTAAAGGTCGGGTAATCACCCGACCTTTAAAAAACAAACACAAATTATAGTGGACTACATTACATTAAACAAAATTATTATCAAATATTATAACAAAATACTAACTGGACTGCTCGTACACTAAGGCAAACCCCTAAATGCTCCGACTGCCCCCCTTAATGGGCATCGAAAAGTTGCTGGTCAAAAATTATTAAGAAATCGTAATATTTGGACATCATCACACATCAAATGTAAAAACTAGTCTAAAGCAGGGCCAAATTGGCAATTTTCAAACCCCCAGAATTTTACGGATACTAAAGGAAGGTAAATTAACGTTTTACATTCGATTCCCGAGTGAAATATTTTTGAGAATTGGTCTGAAAAAAAAACATCCCGAGCATATGTATTCCTTACTTTCTTCAAAAGTCGGAACAATTATAAAATGGAACAGCCAAAACATTTAGTTTTTCAAAAGATAAGTTATCAGACTCAGAATTCAAGCACTTCGTGAGGATTTTTCAGGAGTCGGAACAACTTTCCAAAATATTGAAGAAAATTTTCATAAGTCTTATCGGTTGAAAAGAAAAAATTGCTATTTATTACTCCCGTGACTGCATCAGAAGAGCAAAACTAGAATGCGATCACGCCATTTTTTTTATTTCAATTTCTCCATAGTTAAAACAGCCGACCGGCGAAAAAAAAGTGTTTATGATTTGATTTCATTCAAATCATATTTTTCAAGAAAGGCAGTTAATCCCTCCTTGGGTCAAACTTAAACAGATTTCAGGGGAACTTCTGAAGATACACAGGAAAACTGAAGGTTCTTGAGTTATTAATCGATCCACCTGCATACTGTCTACAAATTTGTTGGACCCAAACCCCCATACCCAATTGTTATTTTTATATCTATCGCTTTAATAGTAAATATTGTTTATTTAACTGAATGGGGGTAAGGGGGAGGGGGGGGGGCGTGAGAGGTAAGAGGTGAAAACAGACTGAAAAGCAGTTGGGTATTGAGAAATAGGTAGGGCATTGAATTGCATTGAAGTGAAATGGCAGCAAATCTGTTCAAACTTGCGTTCACTTCCCTCTTGCCTTAAATTTCAAGTCCATTCAAGATTTCACGTTACATGTAACTCCAAATGGAAACCCTAAATGAGGAAATAGATTTCTGATCAGTTGCAAATTCTCCTTCGGAATGGAGAGAATAAACACAAGTAACGGTTTCAAAAGTAAAGTAAAACAAACTGCTTATTTTAATTCACTTTCAAGGTAGCAAAATTAGCTTAATTGGAATTTCAAATTGGATCTACTGAAATAGCAGACTGAATGGATTTTGTTTGTCTTCTGCTCAGTAATTACCTACGGGCCCTATTGTGCTGTGACAACAAAGGTCTTCTCAATGTGGTTGAAGCAAAAAAGATACGCTATAGTACTGAGCGCAAAAAAGGTACAAAAACTATTGGTATGTTGTTGAACTCAAGTTCAACATAAGACGAGAATCAAATTCATTTTAACAATGGGAATACGAAAGATTTCACGCTTTTATGGAAATTATTTTACAAAAAAAAGAAAAATGGGTGGATTACTAGGATAAATATTTATTTACCAACAGATCGATTAGTTCACTAGAAAGTATCAGGTACCGTAGGAGGGATTGTTAACAGGATAAAACATCAAGGTATACAGTGCTGATTTAAATTATCCGGACTAAGAAAAGGTATGAAAACTAAGAACTCTATTAATTTACACTTATTTTGAAATTTACAGAAAATTTTACAACTAATAAACAAATTCAGATAAAAGTTAAACAAAAATCAACAAGTTTAGTATTTGGTATGATAACCATTATTTTTTAGAACAGCATTTATTCTACGAGGAATGCTCCGATATAACCGATGAATGTAGTCGTCCGGAATTGCCAAAAAAATTTCAAAAACTTGAAGAATAAGTTCTTTAACAATTGTAGGGTGTTTATCACGAATCTTCTGTTTCATGTAATTCCATAAGTTTTCAAAAATATCCAAATCTGGAGATTGTGGGGGCCAATTTTCCAAAACTTGAAAACCATTTTCCTGGAAAATATTTGTCGAAAATTTGGAATTATGGCAACTGGCATTGTCTTGCTGGAACATTTCGTCCAGATAAATGTTTTCCATCAAGTGGGTTTCAAGTATTTGCAATATTTGGCAGAATGAATGTTTCCGTCGATGACTACTATATTTTTTTCCCAAAAATTTTTATGTAGCCCCAAAACATCACTCTTTTTCCTCCAAATTTTGGCGTTGGAGTGATATAATTGGGATGATAACGCATATTTGGGGGTCGTCTCACATAAATCCTGGCACTGGAGTATAATTCAACGATGGTTTTGTCTGAAAAAAAACAAACACATTTTCCCAAAAACTTTGTGGTTTTTCTCGAAAGTTTTGGCAGCACTTTTTGCCATTTTTTTCTGTTGATGTCCAAAATTTTGGGGTTTTTTCGCTGACTCGTGCTCTCAGTCCTTTCTTGACCAAAATTGATCAAATTCTGCTGGCTGATAAATATCACGCTTGTTCATTTTTTTTCGAAGCTCCTGAGACGTCGCAAAAGGAATTTTTTTTTTGCTACCAAATGTATATAATTTTCGTCTCTTTCCGTAGCTTTTTTCGACCGACCAACATTTTTTGCGTTACAATAATGTCCGTTTTCCAACTTACGGCATTTCTCTAAAAAATACCACACGGTAGCTTTAGGAACTTCAGTTTTTTTCAATATTCTATGTAAACTGAAATTTTTAAGTGAAAATAAGCCCATAAAAAAGTAGCAACGTTTTTCTTTAGGTTTTCCAATGTTTTTTTTTTATTGTTGAATGTAGTAGGAATCTGTAAAAAACCGTTAAGTTCGAATAATTAGAGTTTTAAAAAAATATTAACGCCTTGTTCAGTTTTATTTTCACACCTTTAGTCCGGATAATTTAAATCAGCACTGTAGTCATGAGAGATAACTAAGTATTGAACCAGAACTATAAACTTTTTCGAATTTCAAGAATCTTTAATGAGTCACACTGCTTGATAAAACCAGTGATGTCCAATATAACCATTAGTTTAACCATTGGTTTAACCAATTGTTTAAACCGCTTGGTTAAATACAGATCTTTTTTAACCAATTAAAACTGGAACATTATAACAGCTTTTCAGGAGTGAAATTGGAAGCAGCTAGATAAGGCCAAGAATCATTTTTTTTCCACGGCTCACTAAACCTTCACTCAGTTGTTCTCCATCGATTGATAATAAGCAAATTTGTCGATTTAATATGATTTGAGGATCAACCGTACGATCCCCCCAAAGCAGTTTAAAGGGGATAAAATATGGATTGTTCAGAGACAAACTGTGAGAATAGCCTAGAATCATTCAAAATTAAGCGTTTTACTGAAAAAAAAAACGAGTTGTAATGATAATCTGAGCAATAACCAACATACAAATACAATCAAGCAAGCCAAAAATGTAGAAACCAATTTTATTTGAGCAATTTCATGAAATTTGCGCAATTTCTTGTTCTATACCGAATAAATTTTCAGATTTAATACATGCTTGTGGAGGACATTCTACGGTAGGTCATGTAGGGGCGGGGGATAGTACGGTTGATCCCAATTTGATAGTGTCCGACAAAATTCGCGTTCCGAATACTTTTAAAGCTTGCATTATTGTTCCGACTTTCGATACGAAAGTAACGGAATATTTGTGCTCGGGTGGGTTTTTTTTTCTTCAGACAAATTTCGACTTTTTAACTAGCCATTTTTGACGGAATTTTTTAATATCATTCGAAAGCCATTGTTGTCCTAAGCTCAAATTTGAAAAAAAATTTCACCTGTGATCTTTTTTCGTAAAGTTACGGGGGTTGAAAGACTGGCAATTTGGCCAATTTGGGACAATTAACGCGCGATATAATTCGCGCTATTAACGCGTAAGCGGAGATTTAATCCGTCTTATAAATTGTTCCAAATTGGTTGAACGAAGCTTATTTGCCATAATTGATTTGTTACAAGGAACGAAATCTATCTTTTTGTACTTTATATGGCGTGTGGGGGGATGATTTTTATTTAAAAAAATTTCAAATTTTCGAGAAAAAAAATTTCATTTTATTTTATTTCATTTTATTTTTTATGTTATTACTGCTGCTCAATAAACCTTAAAAGGCAGTCGGAACATTCAGGGCTTCGCCCTGATACGAGCATTCTTGTTTACTATAAAATTGAGAGTATTTATAACTTGTTTTTTTTTATAGTTTAAAAGCAAAATTGGTTTAACCGATTTGGTTGATAATATTTTAATTGGTTAATGGTTAAACAGTCGGTTTTACTTTTTTAACTGGACATCACTCAATAAAACCAGACCAAATTGAGAAAAATGAACCAATTTAAAAAAGTTTTACTCCCTT